GTGGTGGCGGTGGGGGGGCGCGGGCGGCTGGATCTGCGGCTGGCCCCCGCCGGGCTTGCCGTGGAACTTGCTGGCGCCCTCGTGCTCCTTGGGGCTGGAGTCGTCGGCTGGGCTGCTGTCTGCCCCGTGCAGCCTCTTGGGGCAGCGGAACCGCAGGTGCGCCACGTACGGGAACTCGAACTGGAAGCGCTGGCCACACTCCAGGCAGGCGTGCGGGGACGAACCTGGAGCGGGACAGAAAGCGAGAGGAGAGCCCGTGGGTCACCTGTTGCACCAGACCGCCTGGTCAAGCTGTCAGATGCACAAGCCCTGGAAAGCAACTTTGAACCCAGATGGTTGACCATTGGGAATCCAGCTAAAACCTCTGTCAGACTTTTAAAACCCACAAACTACGTTAGAATTGTGTTTGTGAGCTCTGACCCAATACAGTCCAGGCTTCCTGCTGCAGTGAGAACCATTCTCCTCCACATGTCCCTTTCAGAAGTAACCCCACTGAATACAAGTATGTATAGAATTGCAACCAGAAATTCTGGCTTGGTTCATGCAAAAGAGTCAACCATGTTCTGAGCCACATACTAGACCCAAACACATTAAACCATGACTCACAATTTACTAACCATAGTGGCCAGATTCACACATAAGCTACATCACGCTGTGCTTTATTTCATGTATGGTTTAGCATTTATTATATTCATATCCCACATTTCTTCCAGGAACTCAAGGCAGTGGACATAGTAAATAGTCCAGGCCGCTATGTTCACTGTTCATAAAGAAGGAAATGAGGTTCTTTCTGCCTCTGAAAATATAAAAGTTAATTTGGGTTGGGGTTCAGAACCCCTTTTTTACATCCCAAAACCCCTGTGAAGGTTGGTTAACTTGGATACTGTGACTTGCAGGCAAGTTCATGGCTCAAAAGCACCGGGCTTCTGTTTCCCAAGGGCCAACTTCTCACTACATCCCCCTGCACCGCTAAGAGAGCCTTCTGCTGTGCAGCTACTCAGATCAGGACCTGCTGAGTTCAAGATGCTTGTTGAAGGGCTTTCTAGACCAAAACATCTGAAGAGCACCAAGTAACTTGTCTTTCATGGCTGATTATGAGCTATAAGTTTCTTCACACTTTAGGTGAGCACCACCACCACCAACCTGTCACTTTCATCCTAGATGCACCCATAAATCTAATAAACAGAATGTCAGGAAGTGAACAGATGTTCAGAGAAGCAGCTGTTAGGGCATTCTGGAGGCTCTAGATGGTCTCATTTGCAGGGTACTAGATTGGGGATGGCTGGACGAATGGGATGAAGGTGGTGCAGTTAACTACTCCCTTGTCCCATAAAGCAGGAGCAAAATAAAATGGAGATCTTGCAAACACAAGCTACTGTAATTTCAACCCTGGGGACCATTCTGTTTTTTGTTTTTTTTTAATGTAGCCCCCATGATCCACGTATATTATATTTATAAATTCTTAACCAGGCTACTTGAAGATTCAGTAACTTCTCTTTTGTGTTAAGCTTGTCTAGTGTTATTCTTGGCTTGTGTGTGTGTGTGTGTGTGTGTGTGTGTGTGTGTGTGTGGTCACTGTGCTCTGTAAACCCATGCTCTTTGGTTAATTTTTGATTCAATAGAACATGTTAAACCATAAAGTGGGCTAATTCAGAATGTACCCACGTTAAGTATTTGTGAATGCAGCCTCTGCAGCAAACAGCACTAAAGCTGACATTTTTTTGTTGTTTAAAACTCTGTGAAGCTGCTTGCTGGATTACATTGAGGGCCTTCATCCTAGCAACAAGTGAACTGTTAGATTCCCTAGTGAACTATATCACTCTTCCCACAATGGATAGTGAACCAAATTTGCTCTCTCTGTTCTCCTGAAAGACAAGGGACCAGCAAGTTCTCTGAACTGAGAAGTGCCTGAGTGACAAACTGCACTGCTGTGGGGAGAGATCTTACAGTAGAAAATGAGATTTGCTTCTGCAGTTGATCATATAATTAGTTAAGCATGAGTTCTGGAATTTGGGAGGGTGTGTGAGAGTGTAGGGTTGGGGCAGGCTTCCCGGGCTCCGCAGAGAACATTTAAACACCTTAACAGATTGCAGCCTTTTGGCTAATCCGGCGTTTCCGACCGTTTCAAATGGGATGCTGTGGATTACAGTAATTAAGCATCATTTGTGCCTGGAATATTTGGTTAACCCCCTCGTTTGCCAGTCAGGTTGACAGGGCTCCCGTCTCCAGAAGGAAGATGCCTCCTCCTCTCGCTTTAGTCTTAAATCCGCTGGGACTCCGGATCCAAGGACCTCTAGGAAATGCCCTGGGACAACCCCCCCCCCGCCCCCACGAATGGTCACCTACCCTTCATCTTGCTCTGGGACCTCACGGGGCTCAGCAGCAGCAGCTCGGTCAGTTCCTTCCCGTACCACACCAGTAACTCCTCGTCTTTGCCGATTCTCCGCAGGGAGCGGTAAAACAACTGTCCGTTCTTGATGTAGGCTTCCAGGTTCTGCTCCTCTTTGTCCCGGGCCGACTGGACCAGGCGAAGCCACATCAAGCCTTCGGAGGACCCGTTGGCGGCCGAGGTGTCCACCTAAAGGGGAAGAAGGGAGAGGCGGCGTCGGCGCGTGAGTGGCTGCCCAAGCAGCTGAGCCCCTGGCCAGGCCTTCGTGAGAAGGCAGCGGGGGCGGGGTGGGGGTAAAGGGGCGGAGGCGGCGGCTGCCACCCTGCTTCCCCGGATCAGTCGAGAGCTTTAGGCTGGCATTCGGCACAGCCGTGGCTACGCCTTGCGCAGCCGGGCAAGGCTGCGCCGCGGGCACTGGCTGCCTTCACCTGACCCACTGAACCCCGAAGTAACCGGCTCGTTTTGTGCCCCGTTGGAATCCGGGCCACTGGGAAATTGACTAAACCATGGTTCAGTTAGCCTTAAAAGTCCCCCGACTTTAGCCCTGGACAAATCCTATCGGGGCTGGCTTGGATGGGCAGAAGGGCTCTGGCGTCCAATGGGATTATTCCCGTCCCGCTCTCCCGGGGACGCGTTTGCAGCCACACCTGTCCTTCGGTGGATGCGGCGCGCCAGGTGGAGGGGACACACATGGGGGCGAGATCTTGGACGCGGGAGGAACTAAGCCAAGCCCAGGAGATCAAGACGGAGGGTCCTAGAGAGGGTCCGAAATCCGCCCAGAAAAGCAAGGCGTCGAAGCGCAGCGTCGGGCCAAGAAGTCTGCCTGCCGCCCGTAGCAGTTCCGAGCCTTCCCTGGACGGCGTTTCCCTCCCGGTCCCGGACGGACTGCCGTCTCCAGAGCTTCCTAACGACTCTTGGGCATTTAGCCTAGCATGGTTAGGAACGAGATTTGTCTGCATCCGATTCTAGTTTTTTTTTTTTTTTTAACTGCTCGAGAAGCTTAAAT